TTGGACCAGAGCTCTGCAGCACATATGACTATCTTTCTAAAAAGGCTCCTCTCTGCCAGGCGTGGTAGCCTCCACCTGTAATCCCAGCATTTTGGGAGTCTAAGGCAGGAGAATCACGTGAGCCCAGGAGTTTGAGACTAGCCTAGGAAACATAGCGAGACCTCGTCTCTACAGAAAATAAACTGGGCATGGTGATGCACGCCTGTAGTCCCAGCTACTTGGGAGGCTGAAGCAGAAGGATCACTCGAACCCAGGAAGTTGAGGCTGCAGTGAGCTTCGATCGTGCCACTGCATTCCAGCCTGGGTAATAGAGTATAACCCTGTCTCAAAAACAAAAACAAAAAGAGCTCCACTATTTCTTTACTTATCTTTTGTCTGGTTGTTCTGTGCATTATTGAGAGTGGGGAATTACAGTCTCCAGTTATTATTGCAGAACGATATTTATTTATTCCTTCAGTTCTCTCGGTATCATATATTTTGGTATCCTGTTAGGTGTGTATGTAATTGTCATATTTTCTTGCTGTATCTTTTATCAGTATATAATGTCCTTCTTTGCATTTTGCAATCATTTTTTATTTAAAGTCTATTTTGTCTGGTAAAATGCAGCCATCCAGCTTTCTTTTCTTTTCTTTTTTTTTTTTCTCTTTTAGTTGGAGTCTCACTCTGTCGCCCAGACTGGAGTGCAGTGGCCGCTCCCAGCCACCGCAGCCTCGACCTGCTGGGCTCCAGCGATCCTTCTGCCTCAGCCTTCCAAGTAGCCGGAATTACAGGCATACGCTACAACGCCCGGCTGATTTTTTGATTTATTGTAGAGATGAGGTCTCGCTGCCCAGGTGGGTCTCGAACCCGCTGGCTCAGGCAATCCACTCACCTCAGCCTCCCTAAGGCACGGGATTACAGGCTGAGCCACCGAGCCTGGCTACTTTAAGTTAATTTTTTTAAATATGCTCAAAGCTCATACATTTTAAGAATAATTTTAAAAGTTTATTTGTGAACAAACGAAATTCTCACGTCACTTGTTACTCCCACTATACTTACAACTGTACCAGATATTTATATAAATATGGGAGTACACAAAAGAAATGGCTTCCTAAACAGCTAAAGAACGCTTATGTATATAAATTAATGGGTGACAGGAAGCATGTAAGGGAAGAACAAATGCATTTCTATGGGAACAAAAGGGAGGGTAAGAAAGTTTGTGATTTTTTTTGTTGTTGTTAATGTAGGTGAGAATGGTTTTTGTTTTGTTCTTCATTCCCATAATATTTTCTGGGGTTGGGGAAGGATTCATTTCAGAAATGTCTGATTTTAGTGAGATAAAAGAAGTTCAGAGAGGGCTTTTTTGGCCATAATTTGATCACACTGTATTTTATAATGGATCAAAACATCAAAGAATACTGAACCCAGGAGTTATTACATTCCTGATAAGATTGTACTTGCAATATTCCTCCAACAGAGATTTCTGCTTTCTAAGACTTTACATGCCAGTATTGCTTTGCAGCCTCTCTGAATCAACCAGATTGGGAAAGCACATAACTGGAAAGTGCTATTTATTACTCAAAGCTAAAGAAAGATGGATTTTATTTTAATTGGTAAGCAAATATTCATATCTGATAACTGTCACACTGAAAGATATTTTATGAGCAAAATAAAATAAAATTCAGTCTGCTAGTATAATTGCTTAAAAAAGATAATTGAGGTAAATTCACGTAATATAAACCATTTTATTTTTATTTATTTATACTTTTTTTTATTATGAAGATAATAAATGTACAATGAAATAAAATAAAATAAAATTTAGCTGGGCATAGTAGCACATGCTTACAATCCTAGCTACTTAGGGAGTCTGAGGAAAGAGCAGGGTCCTACTGATAAAAGTTATGAGATACCTCTGATACCTGGTACCAGGAAGTCTGGAGCGAAAATGTCACTATCAATAAAGACTGCTGAAACTCAAGTTCTACACAATGCTCTGCTGGTCACGTGGCTAACGTATAGGTACTAACAATTCTGGACTTAGAAAAGTAAACCATAAAAGCCTGGAGGGTGAGCAAAACCATTTTAGAAAGACCTCGAGTTTGGCTTTGCTCCCTGCATTCAAACTCAGAAATCAACTGTTTTCTACCAGTTCCCTGCCCCTTTGATTTATTGGTATCAAGGGGAGCAGCTGAGCATTGCTGGGATCATAGCACAACCACTACTTCTATGGAGTTTCCAAACACTTTCAACACTTCAAAAGCAGCAAGCACCCCTCAACCATCTGATTTCCATTTCCCCTCCCCCAACTCTTTGCAGTCACTGATCTGTGTTCTGTCTCTATGGATTTACCTTTTCTAGATGTGTCATGTAAGTGGAATCACAGAATTTGTGATCTTATTTTTTTGGAGGATTCTTTGAAAACATGATATTTTCAGATATTCAGTTGTATATATAAGTACTTCACTTCTTTTCATGTCTATATTGTATGCATTGTACATATCGCAATCCATTTATCCATTCTTTCATTGATGGATATGTGGTATTTTGCCATTTGTTGGCTATTGTGAATAGTGCAACTATGAGCATTCATGCAAATATAATTACTTTTTGGAGTTGTACCAAATAATTGAAGTTTCAAGAGTCAGAAAAGCATAATGATTCTTCAAGATAATAATTAAATATTATGAAAATAAAAGCATTTTTAGATTCTATTATAAGGAATAATGAATTACCATCACCACCCTCAATAACGTATGTTCCAAATGTAAATGACTAAGATCCAATAATTTTTCCTTGTGTCCCCATGCCAAATATTCTTTAGATAAATATAAAGAATATAAGTTTCTAATAAATTTACTATCCACTACTTATTAAGTGAGCTTTGCATAGTGATTTCCTTCTAAAGAAATGGAAAGAGAAAAGAGGAAGTGTGACTTTACAGTGGAGAAATGTGACAAATGCAACCACAGCCAAGTGATCAAAGTTAATATCAGTGGTAATAATATTTGCCCTTGATATAATGTAATGAAAAAACACTTTATCTCTGTGGTTTTCCTCCTTAAATTACATAACCCCAGTCTAACCTTGAGAAAAACATCAGCTAAACATTCATTGAGGGGCTTCCTGCAAAATAACTGACTAGTACTCAAAATTATCAGGGTCATCAAAAACAAAGGAAGTCTTAGAAATTGTCAAAACCAAGAGAAGCCTGAGTAGGTATATTATGTTTCAGTATAAAGTAGTATCCTGGTTGGGATTTTCGAACAGCAAAAATACCTGACATTTAGTAAAAACTAGGAAAATTTGAATAAATTATGGATTTTTACTTATAACAATGTGTTGTTATAGCAAAACTGCACTGGACAAAGTTAAACAGGAAAGAAGACTTTATTCAAGGCTATTGCAAAAGGAGAGGGACTAGAATGCAGTCAACTCAACTCTACTAAAAAGAAGGACTGGAGAGTTGTTAAGAGCAGGGATGGTTGTGGGTGTGGGGGAATCATAGGCCATCTTTGATTTTTGGCCTTTCTAAAAGAAAAGTTCTTGAATCTTCATGACAGAAGGTAGTTTTAGAACTTGTAGCAAGCACCCTCAGGAAGTTAGGCTCCCAGTGTCCCTCAGAAACTGGGACATAAGAGCCCTTTCATCCTTGACTATTACTTTTTAAAGAGATAGCTTCCAAGTCATTGAAGACAGACCTGGGTTATAAAACTGACAAGAGGCAATTTTAAAGATCTACATCTCAAAGGAGCAGGAAAAAACACTTCCAATTGCAAGGTTTCTACAACAAAATTTTAAGAAGAGGAGAGGGATTCTATAAGAGTCAGAGGAAGAGACAGGTAAGGGGCCCAGGGGCAGGAAAAAATTTTAGGAAGTTTAGCCTAGCTGAGGTAAATACTAAGGTCATCTACATTGGTATCAATATTGGTTCATTAATGGTAAGAAATGTGTCATACTATACCTTAAGATGTTAGTAATAGGGGAAAGTGGGGCTTGGGCTATATGGGGATTCTTTGTAGTATTTCCCAACTTTTCTATAGATCTACAAGTATTTCAAAATAATAAATGTATTTTTCAAATTACCACAGCTTACAACTACAAGCCCCAATAGTTATGTATTTCCTTCCTGCTTACTCAACTTCAATGACATAAAGTTTCCATTTTTCCTAGAGCAGCTTTTCCAGTGAATTATTCAAGTCAAAATTATTTTTTCTTTTTATAATCTGTCTCAAAAGAGACTCAATAAAGCAAATCCCTAGGGATGCAATAAGCCAACTGCCTAACTTCTAGGAACCACCTGATGTTTGTTGTTCTCTCTCACAGGACCGTGCACAGAATCTAAATGAAAGGAGAACTACTACCACCACGCTCACCGTGGATGTTCTGGATGGAGACGACTTGGGTCCAATGTTTCTTCCTTGTGTCCTTGTGCCAAACACTCGTGATTGCCGTCCCCTCACTTACCAAGCTGCCATACCTGAGTTGAGAACGCCGGTAAATAAATCATCTTTTCCCCTTCTTTTATAACTTTTTAAACCCAATGGGATTCTGATTAAATATTTTGTATAAGTATTCATCTATAATTGCAAAATTTACTATATGGGTGCTGAAAATATGTCTAAAACCAATTTCAGAGAGTATGGGTAAATTTTTGGTCAGAAAGCATAATTACATTATTTACGAAGTAGAAGGTAAGCATGTCATGGAGCAACAATCTCTCTGTCACTGATTATTTCATATTATTTTTCCAACAATATACTATAGCAGAGTCCACTTGCCAACATATTCTGGAAACCCCCTCCCAAAAAATCTCCAGTATTTTCTTAAATTCATATTTAAATATGTAGTCCTCAGTCAGAAGACACACAGGTCAACAGGCTATTTCTTTTAGTCCCTTAGAGTTCCGAAACGTTATTAGAGATTATGCTTGGCTGTTTGAAGGTATGAGCTAACAAATCCTGAATACAAATACCTATTCCTTAAAGTTATATTTTAAAGAAGCAGAAAGGTGGTGTATAAATACATATTTTCTATACTTAATTCTGCAGTTTTGAAAAATGTTGATGGAGCTATAAATTTTTGTCAGTTTGGAATTCACACCTTGGACCTCCCTAGTTGATAGATAACACATATCTAAAAATAAAGAATTGTATGGTAAACATATATCCAGCTGAAGCTAAAATATCAATTTCTTCCCTAAAAATAAAATATTCATGTATATTCTGTTTTGGAAAAGTCAATTGTCTAGAAGTCAACAACTTGACTATTATTTTTGCTGTTTCTCTGGAAAGCTTTCTGCTCTCTTGGTTCCCAATATGGTCCACAATGTCAGAATTTGTTGAAGGATATTTGAGTTATTTTCTCAAAATACTTGAGAATTGTCATTTAAGTGATATTTGAGATTTTGAAAAATAAAACAGGACTGCCTATAAATGTGAAGTAAATTACATTGCATTTTATTCACTTCACAGTGTTCTTATCCAATGTTGTAATTCATCTGTGGGCTTTACTCATAATAAATCTCAAATGGCTTAGAATCACTTTTGAATCTGCAAGTATAAATGATCATTGATACAGCTGACTTGCATAAACCAAAAAAAAAAAAAAACTGAAGAAAAAAGAACAAATGCTATCACGTGCAAAAATAATACATTTTTAGTGAGATGGATTAGTTTGTAGACAAAAGGGATAATCAGAATTTTGTCTCAATGAACAGGTGTTGATTACCTAAAGTTACATGCCTTGATCACATTTTGTTGAATTCTAGTAAAAATAAAAAATTAAAGATGATAAACATAAAACTTTTCTTTGAAATTCTTAGTGGAGGTAATAATGATAGTTTTTTTAAGTGTTAATTTATGTTTCTGAGTTAATTTATGTAGCTAGTGTCCCAATGAGACCTTGCAATAAGAAATGTTTTGAGATCTCAACAATTACATTTAGCAAATCAGTCTTATGATTATTTGACAGTACTTGGTGCACGGAGGAAAGTAAAGGCAGAGAGAGGCTGCTATTTGAGGAGCAGCGGAAAAAAGTGTACTGATTTAATTTTATAAAGGATCCTTGGGCCTCCTTTCTTCTCTTTTCCATATTATAGACTGAGCACCTCTGTGGTTTAGTGTAAGAGACTAGGCCCTGTCCCAGATTTAGGTTAATAATATTGGTGATAACAATGGCTAAAAGTTATATAGAATGTCCAGTTTGAAATGAACTATGCTAAGCTCTGTGCAAATATTAACTGGTGGAATATACACAAGAACTTTTTGGATAAGTACTTCCATTAAGCTCATTTTGCAGATGAGTTCTTGGAGGCAGAGAATTTAAGTAACTTTGCATGATCTAGTAAGTTAATATATATAAGTATATAATGTACATATATGTAGTATATAAATATATTTAATAAGTAAAAATATATGGCATGTAAATATATATAAATAAGTAAACATATATATGTATAAACTAAGATGTATTTTGTGTTTAAGAAGAATCAATTAAATGAAGATACATTTGAGGCCTGACTCTGCACACAAATATGCATAACAGGCTTATTCTGACTCTTGCACTCTGGGTTAGATTAGAGATTCACTTCATAAGTGGACGTGGGTGTTGAAAAATATTCCCAAAACTCTTTTCAGAGAGTACACATAGATTTTTGGTCACAATACCTTACCTTTCCATTGTTGTACTATATTAATTGTAGTCTGAATATAAATACCCAATGGAGAGCTACTCTAAGAATAAAAGTTAGTAATTTACAAAGTCATTCCAATAATACACATTGAATATTCTTAACATAAGGAAAATGATGAATTAATTATGACCAGTCAATACAGTTCTCATGCACTGAATCTTTCCTAAAATAATAGAAGTGCAAGGGATCCTGAAAATAATGGAGTCTTACTGATAAAAAGCAAGTTTGCAGGCAAAGATGAATAATTTCATGAACATGTATCCATGTGTTTTATTTTATCACCATATTTCTTAAATTAAATATTAGGTAATTTCTGAATGATCAATTGTTGCTTTATTATCACGTTTAACAGATTGAGGCACTCCTTAACCAATTGTGAAACAAAACGAATCTTAGATATACACATTTAAATAATTATGACAAATATTTATGTATCAAGGGTTTTATTTATATTGCCATGTAGGAAAAAAATTGCGTATTCTCACTTATTAACCTAGGTACTTGTTCTGATTATTAGTCACTGTATAATGAATCACCAAAATGTAGTGACTTCAAACCTCCTTCATTTAATATGCTCATGAAGCTACAATTTTGGCAGGACTCAAGGAAGCATCTCATCTTTGTTCCATGTAGTATCAACTGGTCCTCCTTAATTGAGGACTATGTACCCATTTCTGGATGGTTAACTTGGATAGTTAGCAGTTAACTTTGGCTATTAGCTGGAGCTTAGCTAGGACTGTGGACTGAGGCTTCATTTCCACTTCATATAGGCCTCTTATAGGCTTTTTTGACTTCATCATAGAAAAACAGTGGGATCTAGAACAAGCTTCCCAAGATAATTAGGCTAAATTTACAATTAGCTTTGAAATTTGCTGTGTCACTTCTGCTATTTTCAGACTTTGCCAGGTTCAAGGGGTAGAAACATGTTCTACCTCCCTGTGAGGAGTGTCCAAGTCACATTATATGAACATATAGGGGGAAAAAAACTTTATTATGACACTCTTTGGAAAATAAAAGTAGCCATAGTGCTAAAATCTATATCATTATTTTGAATCCATTCTGGAACACCAGGTGTAAAAACCAGAGTTACTTTCTGAGCTTCACATTCTAATTGATGTGTTTATATTTTTCCTTTTATTCCTTTTTACTTTTTCTTTTTCTAGTTTTCTTTTTATATTTTGCTAAAATTTCATGAAATTTCAAGAAGTAAGATCTTGCTATTCAGAGTAAGAGAACTAACCATTAATGTCAACTAAGCAGAACATGTTGACTCTAATTACATACCTTCTGATCTTTACTCAAACGAATTCTTCAAATTTTGAAAGCTTTGACATCTGTTCACCTTGTATATTGATGTGAAATTTTCCACCAATTACCTTAGTGGTATTCTTGACTTGAGAAAGCATTCTTAGCCCCACTTTAATATATGCAGAATTTGTAAGCTCAGAAAAACTGTTAGAAATGTAGTTTAGTATAGTTATAACTAATGAACTAGTATATAATAAAAATTAAAATCTGCTTTATATTAAAATTTAAATAATTATTTAGAGATAAGTTTATTTTATGAATGTAGATTATGTGTCTTTCTGCTATAAAAATATTGTCATAAAAAATAATGTTTTCACATGCACTACTATTGATATATTGAATGTATAAATCTGGTATTCTAAAAATATCAAAGCAATTGGTAGTACTCTGCTACCTATTGGCTATTAACTTGATAAATATCTATGAGACCCTAATATATACCAAAATTTGCGGTAATGGAGGATCCTGAGGAATTAGGATGAGATAAAATCTTTCTAAAATGTATTTTTATGTGAACGTATTCTCACTTTATGACTCCCTTAAAGTTGTTAGTATGTCTACAAAATTTAGGTTTTCTAGTACTGGGATAAACATCTGCAGTATCTGGAGAATAGAACACATGGCTCTGTTTTCTTTAATTTTGAATGAAGCACAGACAAAACCATGATGCATTCTTACACATGTATCCCTAATTAAACAGTGCCATGTATTTGTTGGGATGGTTGGTTAGTTGTGCTTTTGAGTAACTTATCCCTGGACAGAAAAACTAATGAGATATTAACATACTATCTACATATTACTACATATACCTTCCTTTAAGGTATATGTACCTTAACCACATTGTCCCATGTGGTTTTCAGTAGTGAGCCTGAGTTACGCACTATACATTGTCATCTTTTGTCCTGTCCCTGTTTAAAACTTTGGATTGGACCCCAATAATTTTTAGCCAGAAATACCTCCACTGCAATCTTTGTCATAAGTAAGTCTAGTTTTCATGTCACAGATAGCTCCTCTGGTTATTTATCATGCTCTACAGGGAAGCTTTCTCAGAAACTAGAAAAGTAGTGGTGATTTGCAGTGATCTACAACATTTATAATTTCTTCTTGGCATGTACTCTCATTAAGGATTTTATAGTCTGGGAATGCTCTTCTCTCTTGTCTTTTATGAAAGTATTGGTTTTTCTTTTTTCCTGGGTGGCCTTGGATTTCTCAAATGTTTGATAGCTTTTATTAGTTTTGTAAAACTGGATCTCTCCATTTATTTTTACTTTTTGCTTATTCTTAAATTTTAGATATTTTCTAGGCTTCTATCTTTTGCAGCCTTTTTTTTTTTTCTAAGATTGAATTGAGCAGACCTACATCAGTAAGTTCAATTTTTCTTCAAATAAGGATTATCTATAAATTGTAAATGTGTCTTCTTACTTGAAATCTCTCCTTAGTTCCAAACTTACGTTTCCTATCTTTTCTAGATATTTTTCCAGTATTTTCCACAGAT